TAATATGCATTGAAATAAGACAATGCAATTGTGTTTTCTTATTTTAAGTGTAAATTGTCTTGTTCCATTGGCAAAATGTGTCTTTTACCTCCTCAATTCAAGAACAAATGTCCTTATTTTATGAAAAAAGGACTTATCTAGATTTAGTTTTTTTTGCAGTGTTTATTCTCATATGGCCATGAAATATCTCAGTAAACCAAAGTGTTTCATTTAAAAGAAAACAGATCTTTACCTTCAAGATGAAGAACAGTGATCAGAATCAGCTCCAGACCCAACATCTCCTCTCCTTCTATCAGCTGCTGAACAATGAGAGACTTTTCTCTGCTGCAGGTTTAAAAATAATGATCTTATTTCCTCTTTGTGGCTGAATGGAACTTCAGAAGAACTTCAGACCAACACCCACCACCTACTCTCTCTGTGGGTTCAGTAGGAACTGGCATAAAACCTCAAACAGAAGCAACGATTTGCACGGAAATAAACATTTAATAAGCATTACTTTTAATCCTCAACTTAAATTGAGATCAAATAAAGGGAGTCATGTTTTAGCTGAAGGATCTACTTGTGAAGAAGATTAAACAGACAATTAATTACCTTTTATTGCAATCCAATCTGTTATTATTTCCCTTGTATTAGCAGTCAAAGAGGAAGTGTGACGTATTCTAATGAGCTGCAGTCAGTCCACTAACACCCAGCAGCTCTGAGACTCTGCAGACAGAGCAGTTAAACCGAGTCAGAACAGAATCCAAGCAGGTCAAAGTGGACCCCTTACAGCAGAGGAGTCAATTCAGCTAATTCAGAATCAGCTTTGTCTTTTCCACGGTTATAAAGATAGAAAACATTTATGTATCAGTTGGCAAAAAATGTTTTGTTGTACTTTTATTTATGTTGAATGTGGTAAAAATCCCAATGTGAGGCAGAGAATAATTGGGATATCAGACTAAGTCAGATTTTATGTATAAGTAATATTGAAATATCTAATTATTTTAGGGAATGTAATCAAAATATCAGTAATTCTTTTTTAAAAAGATACATTTTTTACACATTTTTGGCACATGATGAAGATTTCAGGGTTTCAGCAAAAGTATCAAATATATCAAAATAATATGACACTTTCGTACTGAAAAGAAGAGAGCTGGAACTTCATTTATAATATGAGAACTAAACTTTCCCTCAGCCAAGTCAGCAGCACACCACAGATCTGCTTCCAATCCCGTCTTAACTGGGTAACTGGGTTAGACTTACACCATGGTGCCCCCTTGGAAAGTAGAATTCAATCAGTGAGTAAAAGTTCAGCAGCCATAGAGTCTTTTATCCCTTAATTGGTATCTTTAATTAAATCTTTGTTAGTTCAATCTCTAACGTTCTGCTCTCTCTGCTTTTTCTCATAGTAGCTTCATCTGGTCTGTTCCTGTTTGACTGTGACTCCATCCTGGAGAAAAACATCAGCAAAGCTGCTCCCATCAACACCTTTGTTTCTAGATGTTGGAGATCGGCCTGTTTTCCAGTGTAGTCCTGTTTCTCTGACTGTGACTAACTGGATGTGCTCTCTTCATCCTCTGACATGGGAGCTGGCTCAGAGCTCGTCTGCCTGGCTGTGACACTGAGCCTTGTTCGGCTGGAGTTTTTCTGTTAAAAGGGAGTCCTTCCTCTCCACTGTCGCTACAAGCATGCCTTGAGATGACATGTGTTGTGAATTGGTGC